GGCCGCAATTTACTTTCAAAACTTATCAGGAGTCGTTGGTAGGAGTTACTTTTTATTTTGCCACATTTCACTATTAAGAATTTGGTTTTTCTATTTTTCCTGATTTTTTTTCATACTGCTGGCTCGTAAACTTAACTATCATCATTACTGTATATGGTTTCACATTAAATTGCTAATGAATCAGTCTTATTGATAAATTTTGTGCTCATTTTGTTTAGCTTAAGCTTATACAAATACAATTTTGAATTTATCAAGAGATTACTTAAGATAGCCTAAAAATTTATTAAAAACTTTGATTCTTCTTTATGAACTATGATATACTTGGTCGAAGATATGAAGATCAAGATGATGTGACCCTCGGTATGGTCGCATCCTCCTTTCGATTTATAGGAGTTGGTTGTTCTCGTTTTCACAACTTGGTCTTGTTGTCAAGGGGACTTATTTGAATGCATCTTGTCCGAAGTCCCCTGCCATAATAGTTGTCATAATTCTCACCATCAGACCGTGGACTTGGTACATTCTCAGATGTTTCGCCGGCATCTTAGTCTGAACCATCAATGAATCTTGCCATTCTCCGCATCAAACTACAACTGTTCAAAGAGGCAAGTCCACGGTCTGATACTGAGAATTATGCTAACTACTATGGCAGAGGACTTCGGAGAAGATGCATTCAACTAAGTCACCCTGACAACAAGGCCAAGTTGCGAAAACGAGGCCAACACACTTCTATTATATGGTCACTTTATAAATAATTTGTTAGAAATTAATATGCCATGCGACTATTTGTGCATATTGCTCCGGTTTTTTATGTATACTTTTTACACTGTATGCCATCTATACTTACTAAGCTCGGCGATTTTGTTGGAAGGACGACCTAAAGTTCGACCCTCTATTTTGTGAAGGAGATTACTGAAATCATCCAATATGTCGTTTTATTGTGAATCGTACTATTCTGAATTGTGTATTGCCTGATTAATATTACACGTAAGGAAGCAAAAGTACTAAATATTTGGATTATATAGTTTAGTTCAAATAATTTGATGTAGTGTTCCATATTACTGCAACCTTTAAATCTCGTTTCATTTAAGTTTATCCGTACATTATCTAATCCCATACACATTTTAATTTCAGCCACAGCTTCCACCTCAATAACAACCTGAGACTGACTTAAAATTGTCATTTCTTATTCTTGCTACGATTCCCTTTTTTTCTCGCGCATGCCAACCACATAATCATCATGATCATCATTCCACATACATTCACCCTAATCCATGCAACCTTGTAAATATGTTTTGATGCCTGTTCCACCCTTTACCATCTTATTTACGATCTGATGGCCAATATAGAATGAGTTAAACAGCAACTACCGAACAATTCAGCAAAAATCCTTAAGCATAATCTTCCACGATTTATTGTTGCCTTGTTTTACTTCCGGACTCATCAAGTCAGCGCCGTATTCCGCTAGATGAAAGATTTCCATTTTATAATATTATCCTTTTCCTTTTTCACATCTTACTTAGCATATTTTTTTAATCAGACACGAAACCAACTAAATTTTATAGATTGATACGGATTCTACAAAAATATGTGCTTACTTTTCATAGAATGACAAAAAAATGACGACCAACTGCTCTGTCAGTCCCGAAGCCGCCTCCATAACTTCCTCGGCAGACGTCGATTATATTGATCTGGCCAGGATGAATTCGACAACGACCACCGTCGTTGCCAACTCTCTTGCTAACTCTATTTGCTCCAGCGATTCAAGTCTTCGAAATCGGCCTCCACTTCAGCAGCAGCGAGCCCAACTGGCGATAGCAGCGACTTCTGCATTTCATTCGCCTCGCACCTCCTCGGCCTCCCCTTCTCTTCCTTTATCGCAAGAGACTTGTGCTTTTGCAGAACTCGAGTCCTGTACCCAACACTGCCAGATAAAATCAGTTTCGCGACCCATCTCGGTGGATTTAGTTGGAGATCCCGACCTAGCTCTCTGTATGTCAGTATTTCTATACAATTTTA